GAGAGAGAGAGAGAGAGAGAGAGAGAGAGAGAGAGACCTGATTTAATCATTGGAACAATCTGATACTAAAATTTCCAGGAAGAAAAAGAGAGTAACATGTGAAACAGCCAGGGAGTGAAAAACAACTGAGCAAAGAACTGTGGTGACCCAGACGCCAGGGAGAAAACTGGAGTTTGGAGCAGTAATGTAGTAATGCACATAGTGTTCAACTGAGGGGAAGTACAAATGGTAGTGCAGAGTGGGATCAGCAGGAGGGCTAATTAGACATAACCATGGAAATAGTGGTACTCACAGGGGCATTACTGTACCATTTTTGTGGTACATACAGCAGATATTTAGGATGTTTAACTTAGTCAGCTAGTCATTAAACCTGAGATTTTTATCAAATTTTGTGCAGTGATCCTAGGCAGTCTAGAAAAAACTGTGTATCCTTGTTAAGAATAATGTTTGCTTTGTAAAAGCATAAAATAAAATACATAGAATAATATAATTATGCTGACCTATGATGATCATAATTTTTTTTTTTTTTTTTTGGCCCTTGCGCTTGCCAGGGAAGCGCTTATTCCACTGAGTCATCTCCCCGGCCCCCATAATTTTTTAAACAAATGTGTTATATGCTTTTACTTTACATATCCAACATTTAGTTTGATATCTAATTAATCATAATTTCAGTATAGTGATGAATGAATGATATTCCCAGATGTTTGCCTTAAGTCTGTTTTATATAACCATCTGAAATTTCTATTGTTAGCCAATGGCAGGTTACCTATACTATGATGGTTTTATTCCTACTTTAGTAGTTTGAAGAACTGCTAAGTTTCAGTTACAGACTATAAAAATGAAGGTGTGCTTTTTCCCCACTTACATTCATGGAGCTGTAGATTCTATCTGTGGACACCTCATGAAAAGCTCCTGATTTAGCAGGTAAAATAAATCCTACCTATATGAAAGTGCCATCAGAAAACATACCAGTTTCCTATGGGCAACTCTCCTTGAAAGAGAAGCAGTTGTCTCCATTTTAGCTGAGCCTGCACGTATTTCCATGTATTGATATGTACAGAGCTGGCTAGGACCCTTCCTTGTCCAACTTCAACTGTTTTCAAGCAATGCATATCACCCAGGTGCTGGTGGTAGTCTTTGAAGATGGCAGGCAAGTGTTTCCCTGGACTTCCCACCTGCTTCTCCCTAGTATGAGCTGCATCAAGACGGGATGCCTTGTGATAGAGGCTATATAGAGGACTTCCTGGAGTTTGAAAGATTACACATCAGAGCTGAAGCACCAACCCCAGAACATTAGCTACTATCTCAATTGTGTAATGCAGATTACTTTTCTTTCTATTCTTCTCTCTGCATATGGCAGAAGTAATTTCAGGCCTCCTACCCATCCCAGCTCATGGCACTCACCAACTTCCCGCCATTGTCAGTCACTCATCCTCAAGCTACTCCTTTCTTCATGAATGAATAAAACCCAGAGTTGGCCCTGGGTTGAGACCTTTGTCCCAGATAGCCATCATCATGGCTGGACTCAGGACCCCTTGACTCCCCATTACCACAAATACGCCTTAGTGTCTTTCTTCCCACTGTGGGTGGCACTCAGTGTGGTAGATTGCAATTAACTTGATGGAATTCCAGTAACTTATCCATGGGATTATGAATGTAAACTTTCTAGACCTAGATGAGGACCAGGAAGGGCTCTCCATGCATACCAATGATGAGTAATTTTATGGTATGATACTACATAATAATATTTTAGTATATTTTTCAGAAGAAGAAAATTATTCTCAGAACACATGAATAAGAATGGCAGATAACTGAAGGAATTTGCCCATTTGTATGAATTATAACGAAAGCTCCGTTTAGTTTTGAATAAACAAGAAGTATGAACTGTCTAAGTTCATGCTTCATGTAGAGTGTGAGCTATCATCAACATATGACATTAGTCAAAAGGTAGAGGAGACATAAAAGTATATCTACTTTTTTCCCATTTTTGAAGGAAAATGTAAGTGTTTTAAGGAACAGGCTAGTTGAAATCATTCTAGTTATTTCAAAGAACCATTGTATTTCAATATAAACCACTCTTATCTCAAATGATGAATAGTGTTTCATTATATAAGAAACCTTTTGGAGAAAATCTTGTTCTATTATCACTATAGGAAAGTAAACAAAGTGCTATAAAACAAATCTCACAAAAATTTTATTAAATAGTTTATTATTTTATTAAAGTCCTCAGTTTTTTGTGGAGACCTCTGCGCCCTACTAATGAAGTCGTGAAGAGGATTATCACCCCTACACATAGTGCCAAGATTTATTTTAGGGTCTCAAATACCCTTTGCTATAGATCGTGCGTTAAATCCTGGACTCAAATAACTTGATTTTCATCCTTGTGAAAGACATTTTGCTTTGTCTTTCTGTTTTGCATTGCATGCAGAAGAAGAACATTGGTAGACCTTTTGTTCGCTTTGTTTTCCATTTAATGAAGTCATGGTAAGTCAGTAGAGCCTCTCTTGACTTTTACATGAGGCAAAGGGTGCTTTGTCAAGCAGTGACCTTGTTTTCTGTGGCTTCTTTCAGAGAGTGTGGAGCAGGAACATTTGTCAATTTTGCATCTTTAGAGAGAGATGGAAAACTTCCCTACAATTGGTGAGTACTGTTTTGGAACCAACCTCTAGGTAGCTCAGCTGTGCTCCATGTATGCCAAACTCAGCTATGCTCTTTTTAAGGGATAAGTAGTTTTGTCTGATTGTCCTGGCATAATTTCAGGGGGAGCTGATTTTCAATGGGGCTAGATTATCATACAATATGATAAATTCTATCATCTTAATACAATTCAAAGTATAGAAAATGTCCTATTACCATATTGCTCAAAGGACTAAAATAGTCACGCAGGAGCCCCAAACCATTTAGAAGAGAGGCTCAAATGCAGGAGCCATACTGGGCAAGTGGTAGCGGAAGGCCAAGGGGAGACTGGATTGAAACAGCTGGAGATAGGCCTGCATCCCTATGTTAAAACTCATACTCCCTTGCCTGGGGACATGAGCCGGCATTTCTTCTGCTCAGCAATTAAGGAAAAGAATGCACCCAGATCCCCCACCTCTCAAACTTATAGGGAAGTCCAACCAGGCCCCAGTTTTTTTTTTTTTTTATGAACTTTATTGAGAAACAAATAGCAATGAGACAGTTTCAAAACCAATTAATAGGACAGTTTCAGTAATTAATACATTGCATATTGTTGTTTTCATAGTGGTCATTCATAGTACACAGAATATCATGTCTGTACCAGGCTCCAGTTTTCTTTACATTTGCATTTGAAGGGCCTAGAGAGAAGAGACATTTGAGGAATAAGAAAAGTATTGTCTAGAGATTCCCTTGGCGGACCTTGTAACTGATAATGATATGCCGAAATTAACAGTCTTATCCAATTCACACAAAACCCAACCAAGCCACTAATTAAGTGAGTGTTTAACATGAAACCAGCACTGCTTACAAAATCTAGTTTGTTTCTGTTGCAAGCAGCATGCAAATATTTTTAAATACATATATATTTAAAATATACTTAAATATATACATTGCATATCAATTCTTTGTAAGTGATTTTTTTGTCTATTTTCTAACAATCCCCTCCCCAAAAAATTAATCTTGAAGAAATAGGGATTTATGACTATAAATTTTACATTAGAACCAGGGAGGAAAGGGATGATTTTGTTTATTTATCTACAAGTCACTTCCCTGATTATGAAAATCTAATTGAAAAGGATTTTGTAAAAACAATCTGTTGTGCCATTTTGAAATTTTAACATATAGAGAATTTTACTTTTAAATTATGATCAACCAAACTTTAAAGAATCTCATAAATTCTTGATGGTGAAAATTGAGGAAATGTACCTTGATTTGTTCAACTATATCAGCACCTTTCCTAAGATTAAAGACTTGATACGTTTACAACTGCCTGACACACCCCTAAAAAGGCCTAATCTTGCCTATAATGCCAGCTACTTCTAAGACTGAGGTAGAGAGATCAAAGATCAAGGCCAATCAGGACAATTTAGAGAGATTGTATCTTAAAATTTAAAAAATACTCCTAATTAAAAGTGCTTGATATATAGCTCAGGGCTTCCTGGTTCAATCTCCAGTACAGAAGAAAGGAAGAAAAAAGGATGAGAGGAAGGGAGGGAGGGAGTAACCTGTCCTCAAGGGCAGTGATGGACAGCCCATGTAGAGCTGACCCATTTACACTTGAGACTCAAGAGAGCTACGAATTGCCTAACTTTATAGTCAGTCACAATTTGTGATATTTATGGGAGATGAGTTTGGGGGAGAATTGAAGCAAAAGAGAATTCACTTCCGGACCTCTGTAACATGAAGCAAATTCTCCTGCAGCTCCTGACAAAGACAGTTTTGCCAGCAGTTGTGTTTTCTGCCTGACTGAGAATAGCTATCTCAGTGGGGATTTGTTTTAACGAAAGTGACAAGGTGACAGCACATTCTCCTCTAATTCTGAGAATAGATGCAGCCAGGGGATATTTTTAAATCTACATGAATGGATATTCTGTCTTACAAGAGGTTTGCAAATCTGAAATTGGATTCAAACCAGGCACTTTAAATCAAGGATCAGAATTAGAGTTAAAGCAAAACTCAATAATTTTGCTTCCACTGAAGCAAGTAGCAGGGAAACAATAGACTGCGTAATTGATTGGCTGTTTAATTTAAATGAACAATGCCTGAGTACCGCATATATCATACCTTTGTTTTCAGGAATATTTTTGGAAATGACAAAACAGTTTAATCCAAATATAATATACAAAGCTGCATCTAGACATGAAGCTTTATAATAATGTTTTCCAAAAGCTTCTGTTACCAGAATCAGTGTACGTGGTCTGGCCATCTATCTCTCTGCACACCAGCTGCTGTTTAGCTATCAAGTGATGCTACAGAGGTTTCCTAAAATAGGTACATGCATCGGAAGAGTAACATCTAAGAATACGACATGAGGTAGCTAATGAAGCACTTGGGAGGCTCGTTTAGCTGAATGCAAAATGCAATCACTTAATAGCAGATGAACTGACACAAAATAAGTTCAAGGAATTGGAGCTGATGATAATAAGGTCTTGTGTGAATAAAAACTGATTTTGTCAATATTGTAGTACTTAAGCGCTCAAGTGTACATTGCACAGAATGGAGTAATATTTAATTGTAATTAAGGTACTTGTCGTAGTAATCGATCCCAGTAGGTGAGTTACTGATCTCTGTTCACAGTTTGTATTACTAACTCGTGCACTTTTTCATCTTTACATCTGTTATCTATTAATGCTCACAGGCGTAGGAGTATCTTTGCTTTCCTAACCCTGTTACCTTCATGTCTTTGGACTGATTACCTTTTGGCATTTTATATTAATCCTTGGTAAGTGATTATTTTTTACTGTTTACCTAACGTGTACTCTCTGAAAATTAGCTTTAAAAAAAAAAGTAAACAAAAAGGAAAGTCTTCTTTTCAATTATTCTATGTGTTTGACAGCATTTAGAATTATTGATCATGTGTTGAAATGCAGGAAAACAATTCCTGGTAGCACGATGCCTATAGGGGCTTTCTACCTCAGTTTTCTTTTCATGAAATTCTTGGCAAGGTTTGCTTTTATTTAATACCAGTCATTTGTTTGTTTGTTTTTATAGACTGGGTTCATTGACTTGTCATCTTTGTACATGACACTTTCCATTTCCTTCCCATTTCCATCCATGAGAGAGCTCCATATTTCCAAAAACTAAAGTAGAGGACTTAGAATCTACACTCTGTATTTTGGGGCCTTTTCATTTTTGCAGTGTTAACTCACTAAACATTAAATAGCTATGTGCAAGGCTCTTACATAATTATCTTATTTAATTATCCCCCACAATCCTGTAGAGTTTTATAGCCCCATTTTAGAGATGTCAAAATAGAAGTCTAGGGAAATTAATTAACTTAATATCATGTACTACTACATAAAAAGTTCAGGTTCCAAATCCAGATCTTTGTTATTTTCTTCATTTCTGCACCATTTGATTGAAATCTTGAAATGTATTCTTTTTTGTTTTTCTAATGTATCATAACCATAACCTTGAATTCGAGGCTACAGAATGCAGAAGGATATTTTTTTTCCTAAGCCAGCAGAGAAATGGCAGCAGTTTTTCAGGAGACTGACAAAGTCACTGATCTTAAGAACAAGCATTAATATATGGTGTGTAAGTACTAAACTGCATCCAGTCAGATCCAGAAATGTGGACAGCTTGGGAAGAACTCAGAAGAAAGCAGTAAGAATATCTCATGAATTGGAAAAAATGGACCACAAAAGGGAGGAAAAAATAGGCATCAATCTAGAAGTTTATTCATTCAAAAAGACCATTATGCCCTGTTCTTCCCACTCTCTAAGGACAGAATAAATACAGGTGCCAGAATGTAGGAGTTCATGTTGCCATGGAAGAAAGATATTTTTAAAAGCCTTTCTCTTTTAGATTAGTAGCACCAGAATTTGTATTTTCTTTTAAACATTTTGAGAAAAGGTAGATATGTGTAATAAAGTCAGAGGAATATGCTGAAGGATTTATATTCAGAGTTACTCTGTTATAGTTACTGTATTCAGTGTAAAGCTTCATCATAACCTCTGTTCTCAGCAATTCGTGTCAGATAGTTTTCAGGTCTGAGTAGCACACACAGATTCTAATCTGACCTTCAAAATACTTTTAACTCAACACCTAGTTATCATCCTCAACATTTTTATGTATTCTGAGAGTACTTGTAATGAATATCCTTAAAGAATCCTCCACAGATTTCATTTAAAACAAAAACATAGAGCCAGGGAGATAGCTTAGTGGAATAAGTGCTTGCCTGGCAAGAGCAAGGTCCTGAGTTCGATCCCTGATACCAACAACAACAACAACAATAATAATAATATATAATATTCATTTCCTCTCTTAAATCTCTCAGATTTTCTCATTTTCCAGTTTCATTTCTAAGCTTTGATCTAGTAGCCTTGTGTGTGTGAGTGGGGTGTGTGTGTGTGTGTGTGTGTGTGTGTGAGAGAGAGAGAGAGAGAGAGAGAATTTTGTGTCTCTCTTAAGCTCCCGTGATGAGCACATCAAAGTCCAGCAAACCCTTCAAGGGCTGCCGTTTATAGCACTTATTAAGCACTGTGAGACCCAAGACAGGAAGAGAAATAAGTCCTTCAGCAGTCTTTAGAAGAATTATCTTGATACTGTAAATGTCTGTCACCAGGTGAGAGGTTGAAACATAGAGCCCTCTACTTCCTGTCACTTTCAGAAAAGTTCACACATATCGTCCCATGAAAATGCACCGAATACAAATTATGTCCACAGCCCTTAGCTTGTGCTGTGTCTGATAAAAAAGGAAACTGCAAGCTTCTGCCTTTCCAGTTCAGCTCCGCCTTCCTACAGTTACTTCAGTTCCTTACTGTTGGCTTCATCTCCTAACTGGTCATTATTTTCTTCTGCTGTCATCTGCTACATAGTCCTTTTGAACGCTTCCTTCAGATGCAGTTGTCTTTATAATCTAACTACCTCATGAATTACGGCCACAAATAACAAAGCCATGGCCTTCACATTTCCTAACACGTCATCTAACTTCCTCTAGAAACTGGATTTCTTGGGAAGATATGTTCCTGCTCATTTTCCTCAAACCGCCCTGTGCTGCTTGTGTTGGGGTGAAATCCAGAGACATTCTCATAGAGGATGTTGCTCAAACCTTTGCCCCAGATGTTAGCAGAATCTGTACAGCACGTGTCCAATTAAGATAGTCTTAAGAATCTGGCTTCCAAGATTACAAGTGTAGAGCATATTTCCCATGGAAAGAAATGGCATACTGAGAACTGGCTTGATCTAGATGTGGTATTAATATTTGAATGTTTTGCTACCAATGCCTGCATCATACCATGCTCAAGGATTCATCTGCCTTTTCTATCTCTGGGGCAGCTGGCATTTTAAGCATAAAGCTGCACTTAGTTTAAGGAGTCCAGCTCATGGTCACCGCCAAGTTGTATTTAGAGAATGATATTACCCTCAAGAACTTTTTCAGGTTTCAACATATTTCTCTTCAGCTCATGTAAAAGTAGCACATATGAAATTGGGGACTTTTTGAGTCTTGTTGTGTTGTGTTTAAACCATTATAAATCCCTCGTCTCTGCCACGGCCTCATATTGTTCTTCCAGTGTGAGTAGTTTTCCCAGACTGTCCTGGCCATAAAAACTCATGCACAGTACATCAACTTCTTGAAGTCATTGGGTTTTCAATCTTACCTAATATGGGGGGGATATTAAAGATTTGCCTTATCCCCTATGCATGCATATACTCAACATAAGAGGGATATTGTCTATTGGCGATTTGAAAAATTTTTGCAATGAAAAAGTGATACCTTAAATATTGCAGAAATATTTTACCGCAACAGGCGCACAAGATAGTTCTTTATATAATGTGTTAGTGAAGCCTTAATTTACACGTTTTAAGTGAATTTGCTTCTCTGTTGTCTTGCAATCAGCACAGCAATTAAATAATTCTATTAATATTACTATTAATTCTATTAATATTCTATTAATATTATTATGGAATCACATAACTCAGCCCTTGCATATTCCATAGCCTTTACAGAAAAGAATACTTTGGAATCAGTAAGTCCTAAATAGAACAATGAAAGTTGTATAAAAATCGTGAAAACATAACTCTTCTTGTGGTTCTATGCCATACAAAATATGAGGGAATTCACTACGGTATGTTGAAGGTATGCTCAATAATGAACGAGATTTTAAAAAGAGTCTTTCCTCTGTGAATCAGGTTTCTACACAGCTGTTGAATAGTAGCAGCTTAATATGTCAACACTAAATGTATTCAGTGTCACTCTCTCACTAACATTTGTTTCTTCCTAGTTTCCCTTAAAGTCTGCTTGAATAGAATTTATTTGGCCTCCAACCAATCTCAAGATACACTGGCAGCCTTCCGATTTTACCAGAGCTCTTGGCCCTCTGTCCTGGCCTTCTGCTTTCATAAAGCACTGAAGTAATTGGCTCTTACTATACAAGATAAATGTGGAACTCCTAAAAGAGATCAATAGATATTTCTTTAGGATCCTATATGCCTGCAGCTCCGTCCAACATTGTGGTGTTTTTTTGAAAGGATGTGAGAGGCAGAGTTAAAGCTGGTATTCCAATCTAAATTCTAAGTAAGGAAGACAAAAAAGAGAGAGAAAAATGAAAAAAAAAAGAACTACTGAATGAACTGCCTTCTCTTAAGACCATCCATTTAACTACTGAGTGAACTGTATTTCCATGCTTAAGAGTAGGAAGAAATAAAAACTAGAAACAGTATTTACCTCTATGATTGGTTCCCAACCTTTCCTGACCTCTGTTATTTCTTCTCCCTCCACAAGACTCATCTACCCCATCAGGACCTCACAAGATCCCTTAACATCAAATTCATAATTGAAACATTAAATGCAACTGTGAGGTTAACATAACAAAGATGCTTTGTTTCAATTCAATTCAATAAGCATTTAGTAACCACCTGATGCATGTACCATTAGCTATGCTCAGACCTGCAGGGAGATAATAGTCTATCAGTGGGTGTGTCCACACCTAGCAATTATATAAGGAACATTCACAATTTTAAACACAAACAAATATGTTGATACCTGGAGTATTTGTATCACAGCTAATTATTTAGCATGGGCATTTATTTTCTGAAAATCATGTCTGTTTCCATGAAAAATATTTAAAGATCTTTCAGAATGACTTAAAATAAAATGTCTACTGTCATATCATTGATACTCACTGATGTTTTAATACCATTTTTATAAAACAGTGAACTACAATGACAGAGGGGTTCAATAAGTACACTTTCACGTCAGGTGACTTAGTTATCTTACCCATTGCATGACATCAGTTACCCCAAATACCCTTAAATAAATGTAATTAACCAAAGCACGTGCTGATGCTTTCCAGGTTTACATTTATAGACTATAATGATTTAAGAAGAAGTATTTATAGGTCCAGTTCCTCAGAGAGCTTCAACACCTAGTTCAGAAGAATAAGAACAATGCTATAGGAGAATCATGTGAGTCATTCACTCACACAGAGAACACAAACCCACATTCCTTGGTAATGTCAGAAAAGATTATTTTACCCTTTAATCAAAGAGTACAAACATTAAAAGAATTTTTTTTTGAAAAGAAACCACTATTATGTCAAGTTCTCCTTTTAATTTCCTGATTCTTCCTTCTTGCCTGCAGAATCTGAACAATCAGGCAACAGATATTTCTAGATATTTAAAACTACCTTAACAACTTTATTACCAAGAACTTAAAATTATATGAATATGGGTCTCTTGCAAAAATGAAATATAAAGTGCAGCTATATTCCTGTTTTTAAAAATGAATCAAATTATGATCATTATATTGTCACTAAAGGAAAAGTAGTTTAACAAACATGAGGTACGTTTAATAAAAGTTAAGTAAAATGGAGGCACCTGATGTAATTATTTAAGGCTCCTCAATTTTAATCATTATTATTAGTCAATTTTTTCATCCAGGTAAATTTACTTATTTTTGTTTCTCAGGAGTAAAAATGGTTTAAAGAAGAGGAAACTGACTAAGTAAGTTTCTCTTGTTTTTTTCATTTGAAAAGATTTTTGTCACAATGATCTTAACTTTCTGAATTAAAAAGGCCACTTATCTTCAAATAAATAGAGTGTCTGTGTGCAGTTGAAGCTAAACACAAAATACTTTGGAGTGTTTACTCATATCAATGGAGAGACCAAGGAGTGAGTTTATCACAGAGCCACGCCAAGAATAAGGACAGTTCTCATTACATGAAATCTGAAAAGAATGGATTGTTAGGTACCATACAAGTCTTTCGAGAGAAAGGATGGATTTCTAAATTTAAAAAATAAGATATTTAGCTGTATCAAAAGTGAATAGAAATCCTTACCATGTGATATTTTCAGATCCAGTTTACTTCAGAGAATGGTGTTTGCTCTGATGTCACAATAATTACTTTGATAATGCTGTCTCAGAATACCTTTAAAATAGGGAAGATTAGTACTCTTGCTAATCTGGGGTCGTAGGTTAAGTCATCAGGATAAGCCATCACCTGATTCCAAAAGCCTACTAGATGAGCATGCGCAGGTCTTTTGTTAGTAAAAGCTCTACATAGAAAGACAACTTTGGGGGCCAGCCATATAGCTCAGCGGACTAAAGCATCTGCTTAAGCAGAGTGCAGCAGCTGGTTCGATCCCTGGGCTTGCCATGCTGGCCCCGCCCCTGGGGCACGCTGACATAATGACTGAGACTGGGAATGGTGGCCTGTGCCTGTAATCCCAACGCTTGGCAGGCTAAAAATGGGAGGATCACTACAAGTCTGATCTATGTAGTGAGACCCTCTCGACTCTGTAGATCCTGTCCTATGTACCCTGTCCTAGTACCAGGGATCAAACTCAGGACCTTGTGCTTGCCAAGCAGGTACTTATGACACTGAGCTATCTCCCCAGCCCCCAAAGAGAACATTTTTTTAAAAAATAAAGTTCATTCTCATTTCGTGTTTAGGACAGACTATTGGTACATTCGTATAAGAAGGGGCTTAGGGGGATTCAGCCAGGCCTATGACAGCCATGCAGGTGGAAAAACCATAATGAAGTGATCCATAACATAATCCAAAAGAAAAGTTGATGTAAATATGTATTTACTTAGGCTTGAATGGCTTGTAATTTTATGACAAATAGTTTGTCTAAGCCTATTTCATATCAGTATGCATGGATTTGACACAGACCAGCTGGAATAAGAGAGAGGAGACGAACCTAAGTAGAAGAAGGGTACTTTCACCTGCTTCACAGAAACAGAAGTACTCTGCTGCCCACAAGTGACTGGTTGGGTTGTCAAGAGAGAGGCATAATATAGAGCAACACAGGACAGAGTTTGGGGACCAACTCATGACCAACTCCCAAGGGCCAGGGAGAGATGTGGAAAAGCAAGACACAGACAAAAGATTTGTGCAGTTCAGGAGTGCCAGAACCCGCCCACTGGCCCTGAACCCATAACAAACCAGCTTCCCCTTTTCTTATCATTTTCTTCCCAGAGCTCCAAAAGCCATTTCTTAGGAGGCTTTCCCTCTCTTTCCCATTTGACTTTTCTTTCCTTTTCCAAATGTCCCACCATTCTCATGTATTTTGCACACTTATTATCTCCACTGACTTCCTCCCATACCTCTTTTCCTTACCTTCTCTCCCACTTTCTCCAATGCCCTGCTCTCTCCTGCTTCCTTTCTCTTCTCTTCTCCCTGTGTTCCTGTATACTCATTCATCCATCCATCCATCCATCCATTTCCTGATCCTTCCTCTGTCTTCCTTTCCCCCTCTGAGTCTTGATTTTTGCTTCTTCTAACCCAGAAGTATTTTCTCTGATTGGTACTCCCTATACATGTTCTCATTTTCCTGAGAATGGAAAATTTTAAATCCAGTGTTAAAGTTGATGCCCTCCCTGCTGGACAACTTCATCCAGACAAGATAGTTCATTACTAAAAGAGTTCATTCCAGAATAGGAGTCCCACATTTAGCCATTCCTTTGGAAGACCAACAAGTCATAAGTAGGAAAAGCTCACGGTCTCTGGGCTCAGGTCAGGATCCTACCACTAAGGGGCGCCAGGGTGCTACACTCTTTCCTACCTCCCTTGGTCTTACTCTCTCATCAGGAAGCATGGGCCCAACCTCCAGGTCTGCTTCAGGCATCAACCAAGCAAGATAATACATGTATACTATGAACTGCAGTGTGCTTTGTGGGTATGGATTATCATTGTCATTATTTAAAATATTTAAGCGTGTTGTCTGGAAGGATAAATATCTCTTAAAATGTACTGAAATCAAATTTGGTGGCCTATGCTTGTAATCCCAGCCGCTCAGGAGACTGATGCAAAGGGATCAGGGCTTCAAGGCCAGCCCAAGCAACTCAGTGAGACCCTGTCTCAAAATAAAAAATAAAAAGTACTGGAAGTGTAGGTCACTGATAGAGTACTTGCTTAGCATGCTTAAGACACAGACAGAAAGACACACAGGAAAAGAGAGAGAGAGAGAGAGAGAGAGAGAGAGAGAGAGAGAGAGAGAGAGAGAGAGAGAGAGAGATATTTTAAAGAGAAAAAAACAAAATTTCAAAACAAAGTAATAGGAGGGTATCAATGGTTAATACATTGTATATTGTTATCTTTAAATTAGTAGCTCAGAGTATATGATATAGACATTTAATTGTTCAAACAATATTAGACAAACCTTTCCTTTTAATGATCTAAAAGAAATTAGTAGTAGTATAACTATCTTAACTATCATACATAATAGT